TCAGTGGGAATCATTATGCTAACAATCAAAACAAGCAATTTGAAAACTCCTTGTGTCATTCACATTCTGCCTAAAGGGATGGTCTCAACGCAAAGACTGTTTTTGGTACCCAATTCGTTAAAGGGTTAGTTCACCCAAAAATGAAAATTCTGTCATTAGGGCCTTTCGCACCGCGGGAACCTTTTCATAGTACCAGAACTAATTGTGGAACTACCCACTTTTTGGCGTTTTCGCACCTCCGGAACTGGGTGCGATTTTAGTACCGGACTGCCTTTTTCGAGAACCAAATTAGCTCCTACTCCGGAGCAGGGTCTAACCAGCACAATTGGTACTAATTGTGACGCAAGTAGACATTGATTGGCCAAATGCGAATGAAAACGCCCTCACCCGCCATGATTTGATATGCCGTGTAAACATACTGTAAACATTGTGTCAACTTATTTCGCAAGTATGGAGAACAGTGATAGATGGACGGACGCTGAAGTGCAGGCACTTGTAGCAAATGTAGCACTGCCAGTTGTCGTTGGAGATTCTTAGTCCTCCTTTCCGTTCTTTCAATTGCTTTACGTATACGTCGACTTTCCATGTCCATTATTGTGAAACCCGCGAGACACAACAAACACACAGCTCCGATCACAGCGTCCTCCATCCTCCTGTTGTTAATGTTGTTCTTCTTTGTTTCTGTTGTTTAACGCCTCGCACAAATGATGACGCTGTCGACCGGCTTACGTCACTTCTTAGTACACACTCTCGGTGCGAATGCAACCCTTTAAATTGTACTGGGAAATAGTTCGCGCAAAATCGTCCCAGAACTTTAGTACTGAACATTTAGTTCTGGAACTAAAGCGGTGCGAAAGGCCCTATTAATTACTCACCCTCATGTTGTTCCAAACCCGTAAGACCTTTGTTCATCTTTGGAACACAATTTAAGATATTTTTGATGAAATCCGAGGACTCTCTGACCCTCCCATAGACAGCAAGGTAACTACCACGTTCAAGGTCCAGAAAAGTAGCAAGATGATCGACAAAGTAGTCCGTGTGACATCAGTGTCACCAACTGTAAAGTTACGAAGCTACGAGAATACTTTTTTGCGCAAAGAAAACAAAACTAACGACTTTATTCCACATTTTCGTATCTACTGCGTCACTTGTGGATGCATGTTCATGAAAGTATCATGACGCGAGCGTGTGGCGCACTGACCCAGATCCGGTGTAATGACGTCATCATGCCGGATCTGGGTCAGCGCCGGCGCCGCCACACGCTCGTGTCATGGTACTGTCATGAACGCGCATCCACAAGTGACGCAGTAGAGATGAAAATGTTATGCATACAGTGCATGTGATTATAAATACAATTCATATAACAACGAAAAGTTAGGGATGTGCCGATCTGCTACTCAGTGTCAGTCCGATACAAATTTTTATGTTGGTTGGGGTATCAGTCAGATGGGACAGATCCAAATCTGATATGATGTGTGATGGTTTTTACTGTTAAGTAGTGCTGCACGATATATATCGAAATATGCAATATGGCTTAGTGCAATTGTAAAATTGTGCAGGCTGCGATTGAATTGCATAAATATGCGCTTTACTGGTTTTAAAGTGAAGCGCCGCATTTACACACATGCACTTCATGACAGTGTTTCAGTGTCTGAGAACAGCTTGTTTATTTACTGTGAATCGAGCCCTTGTGAGACACTGATATCATGGGCTGCACGCCTGTAAATGAACACATAGCTTCACTCTGAAAATGGCAGCGCATATTTTTATTTGACGACAACACATCAAAATTAAAGCTCTATGATTTACTGTTTGAAAATGAAGAAATTAAGATGTAAATAATAGTACTGTAATTTTACAGTAATATATATATTTGTATTTTACAGTATTACAATGTATTATTTTGTTCACTATTATTTTTTATAGTCACTGAATTTGGCCTATCAAAACTCAAGATTTCTGAATTTTCAGTAAATTCAGATTAGTGAAATCAGTTGGTTCTTGTAAAAAGGAAATCAAAATATGAACACCCACATTTTTCAAGTTTTTTTCCCCAAATCAATCAACACTAAAAGGATTTATCACTCCAAAAATAATAATAATAATATAAAATATGGAAAATGTGCAGAGTAAAAAGTACTTTTTAAAAAATTGAAATTTTCAGTGCAGAGGAACTCCCCAACAAAATCACCTCACTAACTCTAGAATGATTCACGCTTTCCTGTTTTCTTTTTCTTTCTTCTTCATATTGCAATATATATATTGCAGGAAAACAAAATATCACAATGTCAGTTTTTCCAATATCGTGCAGTCATACTGTTAAGCTAGGGCCCTAAGAAATCAGTTTTATTTTTTCCCAAATTTCCCAAGTTTTTTCCCGTTTTTTTTTCTGGACTTATTTTTAATGGTTAAATAATTTTTTTCTTAATCAAAAAGCATGCCTAATCAATTAAAATCATGAAACTTATACAATTTAACATAAATGTATTAAAAGTTTAACAAAAATGACATTTTTAAGGGCCTATGAAATAGGGCTGTGCGATTAATCAATCGCGATTTGAGACGTTGCGATTTCCTAATCGCAAAGCCTGCGATATGGACGCGATATTACTTTGTTCCAGAGCATATGCATGACTGCCAGCCTTGAGTGGCACCTCCGTTCTCCCCAATCAGCACTGCTCTAGCCAACTGAGTAAACACCCATCATAAAAACAAAAAAAACAAAAAGAACGCAGGAGAGAGACAGAGTGGGATTATGGCGTCTACTGGGTCAGATCGATAGTTAGGCAAATTAAAACCAAAGAAAAACATATGAAAGGTAAGCTTCGAAATGACAGACAACGAACAAAAAAGGTAATTTCCAAGAGCTGCGTCACAGCGCATATCAAAAGCTCCCTTCTAGGTTCTGTTTTCAGTACTGAAGAATAAAAGATACATTCTTAGATGTTTTTGTTAGTACGTGAACGTTATCTTCACTATCACAAGCCCCCCCTTGCATATCAGCTACAAAAGGTGTCACCAGTGACAAGCGTCTCACCCCGGGCCGGGCGACTGAATCTGGCACGTAGGCGGAATCGCACTGAGATCCAGGCCTCGAGTTTACGACCACTGCCTGCTCAGTCTGTACTTTGACTAGCACCAAGTTAAAGCCACAGAGTGATCTGAAGCACTTGACAGTTCACCATTTCCTCTCGAACATGGCAACAAGCTGATATATTGTGTACAACTTGCAACTCTGGAACTGAAAATCGAGCATCTAAGAGGAAGCCAAGCAGCGACACTTCTCAACTGAAACTGTGTCACCAGATATGCACTGTCGCTATTCAGTTGCGAAAGCATTTTATAGTTACGGTCTTTTCTGGCACTCTTGTAACATCCTGAAACAAACAAGAAGCATTTTTGTTTGCATGCTTGTTTTTAGGGTTCTGACAGATTGTCATAGCAGTACATATAACCATATCTTTAAAAAAAATAATAATAATTCGCACTCCACATTAAAAACAACTACTTTTCAAAAAATGTGGGGTTAGTAATATTTACTTTTTATATTTTTTTTAAGAAATAATTTTTCAGCAAGGATGCATTAAATTGATCAAAAGTGACAGATATTTACAATGTTACAAATCTTTTTTTTTACTTTTTATTCATCAAAGAATAAGGGGGAAAAAAGTATCACATTTTCTTATAATAAGAAATGTTTCTTGAGCAGCAAATCAGCATATTAGAATGATTTCTGAAGGATCATGTGACACTGAAGACTGGAGTAACACATTTGTGTATACTGAAAATTCAGCTTTAAAATCACAGGAATAAATTACATTTGAAATTATATTTAAATAGAAAACAGTTATTTTAAATTGTAATAATATTCCACAATATTACTGTTACTGTGTTTTGATCAAATAAATGCAGCCTTGGTGAGCAGAAGAGACTTATTCAAGAACATTAAAAAAAATAAAAAATTTTAAAAACCCCAAACATTTGAACAGTAGTATATATTTAACTAAATAACTGACTTCATTACCAATAAATAAAAATCCTACATAACGAATCAATTTTTGAGGAAACCCTGACAAGTGCGTCACAAGACTTGGTACCTCACCAGTCAAAAGGTCTGGACACACATTAAATTTGGTTTTTGGATTCGTATTTCATATTATTTTAATAGCATGAAGTTGGTTAAGAAAATGAACAAAGCAGGAAACCACATTATATGCGGTTTAGTGTGTTTAACATTTCTGTTCATTAAATAACTCTCATAATTCCATTGTTTCAATGGCTTTACTTATACTAAAATGTAAAAATAAAGAGTAAAAAAGTGTGGGTGTGTCCAAACATTTGACTGGTAACGAAATGGCAAGAAATGTCACGTCCCTAATGAGAACAACCAAACATTCATCACATGCCACTGCATTCCTCACAAAACAACCACAGCAGGCATGCACACAGATCTGCACATTAATGCAAAGAACACTTTGTGGAAAATCACCACGATGAAGCAGTAAATGACTATTAAGCCATTGAATCTTATAGCACGATTTAAACTCCATGCTACATTTCTGTTCATCTACATTTGCTGACACTTCTCCCATTAAATATAAATATATATCCAATTAATAAAAACAATCCTTGAAATCTTACCTGAGCCTATGTGTATGCTTTAAAAAAAAATAGTCTGGAACTAAACTAAATCAAGACAAAAGAACAGCAGGGTTCCCACACATTTTGACCAAATTCCATCATGATCACTGGTAAATTAATTAACTTATTTATTTTATAGGGATGACACTCACAGAGATCAAATTCTAGTTAATAAAGTATCGAGCGTACCTTAAAAAAATCCACTAAACAATCATTTCAACGGGTTTTCTATGCCTGAAAACCCGTTTTAATATTCCTTGATATTGCCAGGTCTTCCATGACCGTGGGAACCCTGCATGAGAGTGAAAGTTCAGGCAATCAAATCCCTTAAATCATTCATAGCATCAATGGCACCTCACCTGTCCTCCTCCCCATCAATGGGAATGGGTATTCCGAAAAGACTGTTGACAACCGGATTGGGAAACTGCAGGCCTTCTGTGATTAAGGGCTCTATCTATCTATCTATCTATCTATCTATCTATCTATCTATCTATCTATCTATCTATCTAACTAACTAACTGTCTATCTATCTGTCTATCTATCTATCTATCTATCTAACTGTCTATCTATCTGTCTGTCTATCTATCTATCTATCTATCTGTCTGTCTATCTATATATCTATCTATCTATCTAACTAACTGTCTATCTATCTGTCTATCTATCTAACTGTCTATCTATCTGTCTGTCTGTCTGTCTATCTATCTCTCTATCTGTCTGTCTATCTATATATCTATCTATCTATCTAACTAACTGTCTATCTATCCGTCTATCTATCTGTCTGTCTGTCTGTCTGTCTGTCTATCTATCTATCTATCTATCTATCTAACTAACTAACTAACTAACTAACTGTCTGTCTGTCTGTCTGTCTGTCTGTCTGTCTGTCTGTCTGTCTATCTATCTATCTATCTATCTATCTATCTATCTAGGAACTGTTTTGGCCAACAGAAAGTGTATAAAAATATACAAAAAATTAAATTGCATAAAAAAATACAACATATAAAACACTTGATAATCTGACCCGACTTCACATTTATGAAAAATACCTTTTAACAGTTGCAGATTTACTGTTAAAATCTAGATTTTTTATTAATTTTTTGTTCTTGCCTGAATATATTCAAGTTTTGATTGAGCATCCATGCTATTACAAAAATATGATAAGGTTTTGGACAGAATTCGCAAAAAAATAAATAAAAATCTTTAAGAGAAAACGGTGAAGTCAACATTAAAAAAACTATAATGGATAAAAGAGGCATTAGTGCATTTTATTTATTTATTTATTTTTTACTTAAAATCCATATAGTTACTGAGATAAAAACTGTCATACTGTATATTCATCTGAAGTATTTCCATACCTGCCATCGTCCAGTGTTGTTATCATATTAATAAATGTATTTTATTGTGTTTATTTATTATTATTATTATTATTATTACATTTGTGCAGTGGCATTGTGCAGAATACCAACAATGACCAGTAAGGGGAGTAATTGCATTCTGCACACGTTGATTCATCGCTTGAACATTCTGGAAATCTCTATTGGTTCTTTTTTATATTTCTTTTTGGTTCAAAGGATCCAAATATGTAATATTTGCATTTTCAACATGTCAAGTGTAATTTAAAAAATAAATAACGCGCAGTAAATTCACGACCATTAACCTTCTTTGGGGAAAATCAGGAGGTGGTTTAGTTCAACAGTGAGGAGCCTCCCATCTTGAGGATTTTCACAGATTTATTGCATATCCAGTTCGTAAAGCTCCACTTCTATCACATTTTAGAAAATGTGTTTTTCACAAAGAATGTAGAAAAATCAGTCATTTATGCATTATGTCCTTATTCTTCAACCACCTTTTTAATCATTAAAGCAGCTAATCCAAATAAATGCGACACATATTTAGTTTTACTACTTTTTATCTTAAATTGTCTGTTGGATTTAGAGGAGTGACACGGTCAGGTGATTACAATAATGTTCCTGGGCTTTCTCGAAAAAGTCAGTTGAGATAACAAGACTGTAGCAATGGGTGTGCCTCCCAAATGATTGGCTTGTAAATATTAATATCTAGTGGTTCTGTTGTGTCATTGTCTGCCACATGATCTGTCCTGACATTAATGACAATGGATGTTCAGCAGTGAATCACCAACCAGTCTCTGTGTGCAAAAAACTAAACAAAACCATGAGGTAGAAAAATCAACAGCATTTAAGTTTTAGGTTTCATATCATTTTTGTTGGATGTTAAACGACAAAATGTGTCTGAAACAGCAGATTCTATTGTATAATGTGATATATAACATTTACTTAACATTCACAAAAATGATATAAAATGAAAATGCAATAGCTGATGGGGAGGGTTGTTGTTTTCAAATGTGTTGGCCTGTGTTTTATATTTTTCAGTAAGTGAGCTGTTTTAAAAGTAAAATGTTTCGTTTTTTTTACTTTTTGGAGTTGGGGGAAGACTGCAGGGCTGGTATTAAAATGATTTTAACATGACATGATTAAAAAAAAAAAGTATGTTTATTAACAAAATTAATGAATGTACAAACTAAGCTGATATATTGATGTTTGCTCTGAGTGGTTTCAGTGGGTCCTGTACAGTTTAATGAGATGACATCACGGGGCCCCCCGATGACATGATATTTAATATTTAAAATTTGCCTATAGGCAATGTGTATAGGCAAATGTGAATCAATTTTGACCCATATTTGGGGTACTAAAACAAAATTGTACTTATATATATATATATTTTAATATTATTTTATTTTTAATATTTATAATATAATTTTTTTAAGTCACCCAAAAATGACATGTCGTCCCAAACTTGTATGACTTTATTTCTTCTGTCGAATGTAAACAGAGATATTTTGAGGAATGTGTAATGGGGGGTTCATATAATGGACATTAATCATACCATTAGAGTTTTAATTAATATTTTGAATTCGTTTTATTTTTACATGTTCCGTAACATTGTGTGGTTTTCCATTTTCATTTTTTTTTTTTTAAATGTCTATATAGTTTTTATTTTATTTATTTATTTGTTTAATTTCCAGTTTTAGCTTTTATCATTGTAGGGCAAATGTTTCCAGTAGCTAGTTAGCCTAAATATAATAACCCTGGGAAGTAATGCAACCATAACTGTCTGGTTACCAACATAGTTCAACATATTTTCAAGTGTGTGTCATACAGGTTTGGAAAAACATGAGGGTGAGTAAATGACCGATTTTTTTTTTTTTTTTTTTTGGATGAACTATCCCTTTAATTGATACTTTACTGAAATATCAGAACACACCATGTGGAAAAATAATACAAAAACTAACTAATTCATGAGTCATAACGAGGAAAAAAAATAAACCAATTTGTGTTGTTCGAAAGCAATTACATCTTGATAATGAGACTGAGCTGGCGTTTTCAACATCAGAGGGTCTATTTTCTTCCAGCGTCGCAGTGGCGGCGGTGAGTCGTCTGCGCGGAGGGATATAGCACGGGACTACACCCAGGCGCTGTCTCAGTCCGTCGGCTTTCTTTCCTGCCCGAGCTGAGATTTCACACAAGCCAACGAGCCGGACAGCACAGGAGACGCCAAAACCCTCCTCCGCACAACCCTCGCTAGACCTTCAGCACGTGTAGCGTTAAATCCACTCCAGTGGGTGTAGTTTATCCTATACATCCTTTCAAATCACAGGAAAATGTCTTGGCAAACCTATGTGGATAATCTGATGGCCGATGGCAGCTGCCAGGATGCCGCCATTGTTGGCTTTACGGACGCCAAATACGTTTGGGCATCGTCAGAGGGTGGTACTTTTAGCGGTATAACGGTAAGATTTTGCTAGATTAGCACCAGTTGTGCGGTTAACGCTTCGTTTTCATTGAATTCGGGGTGTAATTTGTGTGTTGGGGCGAGCGGAGGGATTCGGGTGTTAGCAAGCTAGTCAGCTTTAGCACGCGTGCACGGGTAGCCGGTCTCGTGCATAGCGCGAGCTAATCATTTCAAGCGTATATCGCAATAAAATCAACACTAGTGATCGTGTTTATCATTAGCGAAGCTGCGACGGTATAACCGAACCGAGGTATTTTCCCTCACAAAAGCGAAAGGACTGTGAATGTTAGCGTTTCTGCTGAATGGATCGAGGCCCAGATGAAAGCACAGGGCTGTGGCCACGGCCTCTAGACTTCATTACTCATATCACAATGAACCACATTATGCTTAACTAGCGACCCTAGTTAAAGTGCAACCGCTGTACAGCCGAACCCCCACAGCAAGTTTTCTTTAGATTTCGACGACTTCCATTGGATGCAAACGGGTCCGGCTTTGATTAAATCACACATTTCCTTATGCATTATTCAGCAATATCGATTTCCACGCGTTGTGCATTTGTGTTTTTATATTTCGTAAGTCCTTCAAATGCACAGATCCCCTCGCTGGATTGTTAGCAAGCCCGGGATTCTCTCAGAGATCGGACTCGGTCTGATCAGTCTTGAGATAAGCTGCAGTCTTAGGCCACGAGAGGAGGAAGTTCAGACGGGTTTCCCTACAGGAACACAAAGATGGCGTCCCGTCGCCTGTGCATGCTCACTCTTTCCCGCATCACACTGTTAGTGTTAGAACACATCGAGCATGAGTTGTGCTGTTATCATTGGCACGCTTTAAAAATAAGTGGGTCACCCTAACTCGCTATTTGGAATGGGTCAGATTGGTTGCACTCATGGCATGCAGATAATCCATTCAGGTTTTCTACAAAAAGTATTTACAGCTTGTGTGACCTGCATGATACTAAACCTTACTTAATGATCTGACTATTAAAACAAGTTTTTTTTTTATTTTTTAAATGCTTCATTTTTCAGCCCGATGAAATCGATGTCATTATCGGCAAAGACCGAGAGGGCTTCTTCACCAGTGGGATGACTCTAGGGAAAAAGAAGTGCTCTGTGATCAGAGACAGCCTTCATGTGGAAGGGGACTGGACAATGGACATCAGGACAAAGAGTCATAATGGAGAGCCGACATACAATGTTTCCATAGGCAGAGCTGGCAAAGGTAAACTATACGTGTAATATGTTCAATTGAGTGCACAAATATATTCAAATCCCCCCCCCGACAAGCACTTGATGATTTTATTCATTCATTATATTAGGTATCCGTGTCTGCTCAGAACAAGTATTAGTATAGAGTAGCTCTGGGAAACGTCTTAACTCCTTACGATTTTTTCACTAATCGTTTTTTTCATAGCAAATTTAGGAAAATGACCCTTGATGCTAAGATGTGCCCACTCATACAGTCTGCCTTTGTGGTCCTCTTTTTGAATGTAAGGAAGGTATAGTTTAAAGCCAGTGCAATCTTCTGTCCCGCACTCCTCCTTTCTGAAATTGGCTTTACGGACGCCAAATACGTTTGGGCATCGTCGGAGGGTGGTACTTTTAGCGATATAACGGTAAGATTTTGCTAGATTAGCACCCG